AAACCATTATATCCTGATTTCCCATTTTCAATGGGTTCAGGGTATAAAAACTAAAGGCGCTGTCCAACTCATATATGTATGTACATATGTATGAATTGAAGCTTAAGAAGAGAGGCAGAAATTAGTTTGTTGTATATGTATGCAAATGCTTAACTTGGTCAAAAAGGAAAAAGCAGCTTTGCCGAAGTACATTCGTAAGCTAAACTGACTCACTCTGATTAACAAATAGATCATGTCATACAGTCTCTATTGCTATCCTGGTCTATCATATGTTTAATCACACTCTTCTTCCGATTCTTATATAGTAATACGCCGCAGAAATCCAACACGAGTGAGGAGCAGCCTATGGAGTTGCACGATGCTGGCGTTCAGATCGAGGATATTGAATCTATACTCTCGCATTTACATGGAACATAATCCCAGCGGTTTCTATTTATGTATATATATAAATATATATATATAATTTTTTTTGTTTAACTTTATTTTTTTTTTAATTAACAACTAATATTCAAAAAACATTGAAATGATCTTGATATTTAGTTACATAGAATTAAATATGTTGTATCAACGTATTGTGCGATACGAATGTTCGTAAAAGTTAAGTTAAATAAATTATCGGCTATACTAATTAAGCTGCACTCATATTTGGTTGTATGCGATGAAATCTTTAATATTAATCTATGTAAATATTTCTTGGGAATATTCGAATCACGAACGTATTTAATCAGTTGGTTTTGTAAATAATATAGTACAATTATTATATACGATATGAGATGGTACTATTCTACTACTACTACTATTCTAAAAAATATAAAAGGTTCCCAGGTATAAGACGCTGTTACACGAGCCAATATTCCAAATTTTAAGGGCCTTCCTTATATGCGAACGGCTTTCTCGGAGACAATGCACATAGTAAAATGTCGTTCACTCCTTTACTTCGAGCAGCATGGAACATTAAAAGAGTTTATATATATGCTGCTGTAAAGAAGGTGGAAAGAACATAAAAATATCGGAGCATATTCTAGATGTACATAGTTATATGTAACTACCGTCACCTTTACCGTAAAGAAGATCAGGATACAGAATATATTCAAGCCTTCTATACCAGACTTGAGCTCTTGCAATCATTTGCTTTGATTGGGATTAAATGTAATTGTCAAATTATTCAATCAGACGAAGTGCCCAGGGGAAGGCTCTGGGTGGTTGCATCCGCCCGCGACAACATTTATATTTAATGGTAATTTTTGAATTGACAACTAGACTTACTTGTAAATGCACATTGTCTTAACAACTGCGATGGACTCAAATTATGCGCAATTATACGAATTGAGCAAGGACCGTCACTTGGGCAATCGGGTAATTTACGGTCAGCACTTGCACCTGACGGCCAGAATGGATCGGACTAATATTGTGAGGTTCTGGCTGTGCATTGGCGTTAGCCTAGTCACTGCTAAAGAGCTTAAAATAAGTATGAAAACTTATCGGAATACTCATTTCAATTTGAGGAAACAACATTTATTTCGCTTCTCCGGCAGCCTTTTGGATCGAGCCAGTACAGCGAGCAGAGTTTGACACCGATATTGCCGCTGTTCTTAAGGAGCTGGAAACATTGCAGTTGGATACGCGAATCAGCGATGCGGTGGTGCAACTAAGTCGCACCGACGACCAACAGGACATGGACAGCTGTGAGTAGAGAGGGCTATTTATACGTGTTCTATTATTTAATCACAATATGCCCAATTGGGACTAGCGCAGTCTGTGAGATTCTGGGTAGCGTGGGCAGTTCGGTGATTATCGATCTGAGTTACAGTCGCTGGTCGCACGGCTACGGGCTGGCTCATACACATGGCGTTGCTTACGTGCGTTTCGACCGGATAATGCGCCCCTTTCTTGACATGTTTGCCGATTTTATGCGCCAGAAGCGGGCCAATAATGTGGTCATGATTTTTCAAAATGCCCGCGACACCATGGAGGCCATGAAGCAGCTATTGACCGGTTATCCATTCCGCGCTCTTATTCTGGATGCCAGTGATATGCAATCGGAGGACTTTGTTGAGCGGCTGGTTCGACTGAGGCCCACTCCCAATTACTATGCCATATTTGCCCGCGGCGCTGCTATGAATGGAATTTTTGAGCGCGTGAGTAAAATCAAAAGCAGCTCGCAAACGTTTTGAAAGTGCTATAGACAATTGCAGGTCAATATGGGTAACCTTTTCCAGCGGCCCACCGAATGGCATTTCGTTTTTCTCGATACCAGAGATCGCGTTTTCAAATACAAACAACAGGTGGAATTTTCTACGCGATTCACCTTGAATGCACGCGCCATTTGTCGATCGATGCAGATGCGAGACCTTTACTGCGGTAGTGGATTCACGGTAAGCCTTAAAAAGATAATTTTGCTTCGCTTGCTGATGGAAAGAAGAAAGAAGATATGCAACGTATGTACATACATAAGTATGTGTGTTACATTATATAAATAAGCCACTAGCAAATATTGTGAGGTGCTGGCTACTTTATAACTGTAAAAATGTGTTGAATACGCAAGCTCATAGCCCGGACTTAAGCCCCATTGAGAATTTGTGGGCTTATCTGAAGAAGAGG